CTGGAAAAAAAAATCAGCATAGATTGCATGGCAACATTGTCTTTTAAATAAGATGATTTATGACAAAAAAACAGAAAGCATGAGAAAATGGGGAAGAGGAGAAGACAACCATGATGCGGATCTACTCAAACCAGCATCAATAAGTTTTAAGATTTAAAAAAAAAAAAAAAAATTCTTTATCCACGATAAATCAATAGAGCTTAGAACAGAATGATACCTGCCCATGTTAATCCCAAGATACGTCTCCAACCTGTCTCCAAATTGCAACAACTGAAGTCTACAGAGACGAAAATCCCAAATTTGACTACCTTCATTATCTTCTTCAGAGAATTTATACTGGCTAGTTAGGCGCAGCCCATGTGCAAGTAAAGCCTTCACAGCATCTTCTGTTGGTCCAATTTTATCCACACATTCAGAAATTACAAATGCTTGATCCTTAATCTTTGACAAGAACATATTTATTTCATCTATTCCTTGCCTAGAATACAACCACTGTGATTTAAAGATTTCATCTGTATCCAATCCATGAATATTAGCAAAGTCCATAGCCCTTTTATACTTGTGGTTGCTAATTAAAATATTATACATATCAGGAACAGATCTCTCTGACAATGATATCAAGCTCCAGCGCAATATAGAAATGTCAAACTGATTAAATCTGTCTTCAGCAACCGGCTCTATGTGATTTGAGTCGATCGTTCCTCCGTCAAAATTAGATGTGTTTAATCTCTCGTCAAGCGATTTACTCTCTAAAAGAAAAACATGACCTTTAAGCTTCTCTACTCTCTCTAAAACAAGCACTGAATGTACAGGATCACTGTCTTGAACTTTCAAGCCACTATGGATGTCAATCATGGTGACAATTCCATCCTTTCTTGCAAGTGTAAGTATATGATCAGACCACCAAGTAAAATCCACAACATCTCTAAACAATTTCTCTCTGTTTAATGAATTATCAGTCACTTGAGAATCCAATCTTTCTCCACAAAAAGCCTTTGACAGTGAAGAGCTAGCATTATCCATCTTAAAAATGTGCAAGCATCCAGTAATATCTGAGGTAGCAACAAATTTTCCTTGTGGAGAAATTAGCACTTTCGCAAGTACAGGCTTCCCTTCATAGCCTTTTGGTTTGCAATATAAGCCTTCAAACTGAGTAAAGCACAGTTGTTCCAGGTCTAAACTTTTACATCTACGCCAAATAGAAATACAAGACCCTGCAAGAAAAATGAATAACTAATTAAGAAAACTTGAAATATTTGCCATTCTACTAACCTGTTAAAAGCCCCTTTTTCGTTTCCTAAGAGGAATTTATGCTGGATCACAAATACTTGACAAAATTTGATTACATATAAAAGAGTCTTACAGATGAGACCTACCATTGAATATGAGACAAGCAATCATTAGAAAGTCATTTAATAATTCTGATACTTTACCATATAGAACTCTGTACCACTGTCATTGCTTATTCAATTGAAAACTAGTTTACAAAGATTTGTTCAATTAAAAAGTTCCATTCAGAGAACAAAAGGACAATAGATGGTAAGAAACTATACCAGTAGTCCCACTAGAGGTAAGTGAAGTAGTGATAGGACTACTGACAACAACTAACAATGAAAGATCTGGAGAATAGTCAACACAGAAAACATTCTGAGGAAACTGCCTCCTAGAAGTTGATCCACTATTTGATGCACATGCAGAGGAAATAGAGGCACTTGGCTCCTGACTGATCTCAATATTGTGAAGGCATCCATCTGCTGTCAGAACAGTGAAGGTACACCTGAAAACAGGTTTCCAAAAATTAAGCAGGCACTATGATGTTATAGCTCCAGCAGTATTAAAAGGGAGAATGTAGGAAAATAATATATAGATTAAAAGAAACTATAGGAACCCCAAATCTTTAATCATATGTTCAAGATTGATTAAGAACAATCTCTATATTCAGTGGAGTTCATACAGATGCCTCTGAACAAAAAGGAAAGGGAGGTGGAAAGAACACTTACAAGCAAGATGTTTGTACGTCAGTTGCATCTTGTGCAATCAGGCTTATTGTTGGTAAAGAACCTTTTAAATGCTTATTTGTGATTCTTGTTATCTCTTCACCATTTGCTTTAATAAAATAGACTGTGTCGGATCCATTAGCAACTCCAAGTATATCATGAGTTTCTGACCAAGCTCCACAAATAAATGCACCAGGAGTACTACCTAATGTGTGGAACAAAAGTTAGACACAATTTCAAGCAAAAGAGAGGTAAATTGTAAGGAAATCCGTAGAAGCAGCAGAGGAGTACTTTCTATTGTACAAACAATAAGTTTATTTCCAGGTTCATACTTCAGATCAACCATCCATTTTTTTCTTTCACTAGAAACAACATCCATATCAAATGTCTTGCACTAACAAACTTCCATAAATTTAAATTTTTACTCAGATATATCACAGGGCTCACTCTCGCATAAATATTCTCTCCTGTTTTTATCCTGAGTAATTAGACTATTCTTTTATACAATGTTCGCCCAAAATTTCAAATGATATGCAAAATTCTACAACCATAGGACTAAAATACCAAATTTGCCTTCTATGCTATTAATGAGGAGCCTAAAAGGGATGCTAGTTAAAATCTAAACATGTCACAAGGGCATAAACAATTCTAATACATATCCTTTTCAAATCTGTTTGGGGAGGGACCATTGAGCAGCACTTGATAGTTCCCATCAGAAAATATTACAGAATAATGTAATCAATAATATCACATTTTACCAGGAACCATAATATAGTACACTATCAACAATACCAATAAAAATAAAAAGGTTCCGAAATACATTCCTAAAAACTAAATAATCTGCATACTCACAGTGGTCAAACCAAAATCCAACTACGAGGAAAATCTTAAGACATTAAATCATCAAATTTGAATTTAAACAGATTATTGTCTAATTATTTTTCAACAACAAATTCTTATATCCGCTAAGCCTACAAATTCTAACAAATGCTGCAAGCTGGCACCAACATTTCTAAGCTTTTCTCAGATTGATAAAAAAATCTTACTGGTAAAAATGCCACACGGTTCCTTGTAGTCATCATCCTTCTGCAAAATTGTAATCTGATTTCCGGCAGCCACAGCAACGCGTTCACCTCTCGGCGATATAAACAACGATACAAGTCTCTTAATTTCTCTAGGAGAGCGCCGATACTCACTCCATTTCTCTTTAAGTTTACTCACACCTTCAGAACAAAGCAAGAAAACACATCATCAATAACCAAAACAAGTAAAAAGAAACCTAATTAAGCTAATTCAAACCAGTGTAAGTATAAAAAATCAACGAACCTGGAACAGAGAGAAACGATAACACGCCGCGTTTTGAAGCTTCACGCGCCTGAATTGAGTGAATAAGAATTAAGTAAAATTTACAACTCAAATAATAAAATTGAAAATAAAAATTAGCTAAGAGAGATCTAAAGTTGGACCCGTTGATCGGATTGTGACGGGTAACTGGGAGTGTACGGTCCGCTGGCGTGATGACGTGTCTCGTATATTACTTGTGGTACGGCGGTCCGAGTGTCGTCCATTCGATTGCCAGTTTTACAAGTCTCCCGTCAGTTCCAAGATCTTTAACGTACGTTTAAGACTTGTGAAAGAAACTGAGAATATGTTGTTTAACGGAGGTGAAGCATAATTATGGGTCGGGCAAAGAAGCGGTGGGCACGGGTCGGTTTGATCTGAACTGACAGGAAGATAGTGAGATCAATGACTTAAAATAACAAACCAATCATCACAAATTGTATCGGTGTAGTATTACTCTTACAAATTTACCTATAATCAATGAGAAAATTTAGCTGGCAGGCTATCCCAAGTTTCGATTTAAGAAAATGGTTTTGAAAATGTTTTTCATTTTTTTTTTTTTATTTAGAGAAGATGACGTGGCATGATTATGATTAATTAAACACGTAAAATGGGTTAAAATAAAAAGATTAAAACATATATGGGCTGAATCATAAATAATGAAAGTTTTTAAAATTTGCAATTTTACAAAACAAGCCCCACCTATTCACCTTGCTTAATCGAAATTCATTAGGGCAAAAAGCGATTTCTTGAACCAAAGGGAGACAGTGTGATTTTCGATCAAACCTGCAAATTTCCATACCATATTCAATCGTAAACTCAATTTCTTGAACCCTAAACAGAATTCGGTCACAATTTTCGTTGATAAGTCGCGATTTTCGATCGATTTCTTGAACCCTAAACAGAATCTGTGCGATTTCTGGCGATACAGCCCACATTTCCGACCGAAACTACAAATTTTGACACCAAATTCAATCCAAAAGCATGGCTGACACTCACAATGATGAGGAAAACCCAACGCCACTTCGAATCCTAGATTCTGGTGGTGCAAGCAGTTCAATGGCTGCTCTGGTGGATCATTCGATCACTAAAGGTGCTCCACAGGCAGAGGAGACGCCGACGACACAAGAACAGAGGGAAAAATCAGCAAACGGTTCTGAAGACGAGAAGTCAGGCGAGAATTCAGGCCCGGAGGAGGAGTCCGGCGAGAGTTCAGGTCAGGAGGAGTCGTCCGAGGATTCAGGCGACAAGGAGGAGGCTGACGAAGAAAGGGTACGTTATTTTGGGAATATTGCTTGTACTGTCGCTTAAGTGATTAATCTGTTTTACTCATGATCGCACTCATGATCGCTTAAGCGATTGATTTAGTTTACTCTTAGTCGCTTTAAGCGATCTTGTCGAGGCAGAATCACAGATATAATAAGCGATCTTTTGTATCGCTTAAGAGATTCTTTCAGTTTACTCTTGGTCGCTTAAGCGATTTCAGATCACTTAGTCAAGATCTCTTAAGTGATCCGAAATCGCTTAAACGACTACAGTGGTAATTTTTTGTTGCTGATTGATATTTGTTTATTTTGTTTTGGTTTATTTTTGTTCTGACTTTTGTTACATCGATTGTGCAGATTGTGCAGACCGTAAACGTAGAAAATACGAGTGGAGCCTATAAGTGAGAAGGTACCCTACTTCTTGCAAGGGTGACGGTGAGGTCGAGTTGGGATGTTTTTGAAAGAATAAGGACATTTAGATGGAATGAGGCATGGTGAAAGAGATTTCCGTCGCACTTGTTTCGGTCAGTTTTAAAGATCGGAACAATTGGAAAAAGGCATTTTGGGGGCAAGGAGTGCATTACATGTTACTGCACTCAGTAAAATGCAACAAAAAAAAAAAAAAAAAAAAAAAGAAATGTGGTTCGTGTGGACGAAAAGCCCACGGTTTTGGATGGAGGAGTATGCCTTGGTGACGGGTTTAGGCAGGGAAGTGCAGATAAGGCGGAGGCAGACCCAATAAGGTTGAGTCGAGAGCCATAAGGTTTCATAAGAAGTTTGCAGGGGGCAAAGTCTATACAGGACACGTTTTAGAGGAGAGGCTAGAAACAGTTCAGTTTAATGATGGAGAGAAGATAAAAGTGTGCTGCTATTGTTTTTACATTCTACTTATTGGTATTGACTCAACAAAGGCTGTTGAGAAAGATTGGTTGTTGTTTGCAGCGACTTGGAGTTCTTTAATTCTTATCTGTGGGGACGGATTCATTTGAGCGAACCATCAACAGCCTGAAAAAACCAGACATGACGTTTAAAGCATGCCTAATGGGTCAAGAAGGATAAACAATCAGTATAATTGTTTGGCTCACATGAGCAATGTAGGTAAAATATATAGCTTTCTGTTATTTTTTTTAAATATGTGTTTGAATTATAATATGGACTGTTTTTTTACAATGTAGGCTTGTATGTACGAGGTCATCCTATTTTCGCTAAGGGAAGGGGGAAGGAGGGGGGGGGGGGGGGGGGGAGGGGGAGCAACAGTTTGGAGTGCAACAGCAATTTCCTAGGATGTTGCGATGGCATGTCGCGGAGGTGTAACCATTCGGATTATGACCAAATAGAGATGAGATTCAAGCAGCTGGGGTAAGTTTAGGATTAAGCTTTTGAATATGCAGTTGCTTTAAAATGTCGCTTCAATTTGATTGATTTTGTTCTTATTGCTGGGAGTCGTCTGTCCTTTTTTCACCGCTACTAGGGATGAAGCGGAAGAGGATTATGTCACATCTTCAAAGCACTGGAGGATGAAAGGGATGAATGGATAGACCGCCTGATGCGGGACCTAAGAGTGGTCACGCATGTGACGGCAATTGCAGGGCATTGCTTGACAACGTGGTTAATGCCGAGGATTATGAAGCTCCAATGGCGGGAGGCCTGAGGAGAGGAGGAGAAGAGGGAGGAAGAGGTTCGTAGCCTCAGGAAACAGTACAACAAGTACCGCTTGCCGAGACATCAGGTAGGAGAGAATTGTTTGTTGACCTCATAAACGGCATGTTTGAGAGTTTTACAATATTCGTTTATGCAAGGTTGAAAATGGAAGAGTGCATGAAAAGGGTGGAGGAGAAGTGGATAAGCTGGCAGAGAAAGTGGTATAGTGGAGGAGGAAGTTGGTACAATGGAGGAGGAAGTGTGGAGAGAATTAAATGGGTTGAAGTGCAAACTGGCTTGAAAGAGGAGCTAAAAGAGCAAGTTTGTGAAATCGCTCTACATGGTAGTGACACATGTAAGAAGAAGAAATTAAGAAACAAATGGAGGAAGAAACAGAAACGGAGGAGGTTGGTAGAGGAAGTGGGGCGGTGATAATGGAGGAGAGCGAGGTGGGCGGCGAGGAAGCGGGGATGTAAAAATGGAGGAAGGGGGAGGAAGTGGGCAGGCGAAATTGGACTCTAATGTCGATTTATATAGGCCAATAGAGGAAAAGAAAAAAATCTCTATGCCCATTCAATGGATCAGGAAGGAATGCCCATATAAAGTGTAAGCCAGAGGATTATCCCTGAGAATGGTTGAGAAGTTTTGACGATGGGCACGTGGCTTGAGGACGCGGTGAGTTTTTTCGCTTAATTTTCCTTATTTTGCCTAGTTTTCCCTACTTATCTTGTTGTTTTTATTGATGCAGCACATCGATGAGATATGGCACTGAGGCTACGAAGACTACTGATGGTGATCTATTGTTCTTGAATGTGCCTCACCAATGTGGCATTGGTCAAACGTTGTCGGCATATCGCATTTAATTAAAAATGTCGTGCTAGTGGTGCAGCAAAAGAACGAAGCGAAAAAGATTGGCCCTAGTACAGTTGGACTGCATCCTGAGATTTTCATTTTGATGATAGAATTATACAGTATATAGGGGGGATCGACCCAAATATGGCCACGGTTGGCCTTTGTTAAAAGAGTGTACTGCATCACCTCGTCAAACAGATGCACTGGATAGCAGTCGTTGCGCATCTAGAGGAGGATTGTTGAAGATCCTGACTGCAACCAACTATTTGTCGAGACAAGCGTTGGAGGTCGAGTTGGAGCCACTGTCTAGGTTGTTCCCGCGGCTGTTGTGTGACAGCGAGATGTTTGGGCACTTGGGTGATCAAGTACTAACCAGAAAGTGACCAATTAAGCGCTCTACCTACCCAATAAATGAGTCAAGGTAAATTTTGTATAAAACTAACTACATAATACAATTGTTCTATAGTTATTCTAATGTTAATGTCTTCTTCCTATTGTAATGCTGAATGTGGGGCATATGCCCTGAAATTTATTGAGTTCGACATGACCAACACCCCGATGGACGGGTGAATGAGAAACAATGAGAGACTGTCGGGAAGGCTGGGCTGTCGACTGCTTCCATGGGCAGATGGATCCATTTTGAGTGAGCAGAACCCAATAAAAAGGTATGAAGTTGGACTTTGAATTTTGTAGTTTAGTGAGTTGATGTTGATTTGGTTGTGGTGCTGATGCTGCAGGTGTCATGCTTATATGGAGCTTTACCGAAAGACACGAAAGAGTGAACTTCTCACCTCCACTCTGTAAATTTTTTACGTGTTTTTTTTATTAAAAAGTGACATGTCTGCAGGTGTGTGTTGGATAATTTGCAGGTTCTTGGCAAACAATGAGAGGAAACTTCTCAAAGGTTGGTTGGCAAGAGGAGACATCTACAATAAAGGCTACTGGGAAGGCATGGTACCAAACAATGACTCAGAGAGGTCTGTGGTAAACAGAATTCAAAAAATCCAAAGGCTGGTTGACAGGAGGAGGCATCTGCAATAAAGGATTGTGCAAGGTGTTAGTGACATTAAACTCTTTGGCATCACAAAAGTAAATTAAAGGCAGTGTATAAGAAAATCTTGTGTTGTGGCTCTTCTTGCAACAGCCAAAAGCCTTGTGCCTGCAGAATCATTGTAATAATTGGATCTGACATTTGGGAGTTTTTTTTTTTTTTTTTTTGGTCCATATAAATATCTCATTAGCAGTTTGAATTTACTATGTATGGTGTGCTCATTTGCTTACCCAAGTTGGATAATGGTTTTTTAGCGTTTTGTTTCATTTTGTGTATCATTAAAACATGTGATGTACTGGTGTGATTATTTGTCACACAGTTGGGCCTAATGGTTAGATTGTCCATATATTCAATATTTGCCGCATCCCATGCCTATTTTTATTTTTGTGTTTCGATAAACAGGTTACATTGAGTCTTCTATATTTTGATTTGTGATGAACTAGATTGATATAAATTACTTAATTTTTGATACAAATTCTTTTCGGATTGGGAGGGAAATGAGTGATGTTCAAATGTTTCCCAATACAGTCATTTCGAAATTAATTAACTTAAAGAACGGCATGGTACCAAACAATTACGTATATGACCGACCACATATATCTCTTAAAGACCAAGACTTTTCCAGATATGATCGCTTAAGCAAATCAAATCGCT